CTCCTCTGTCTTCTCTCTCTGCCCCCCACCAACTCCTATTGGTGAATGCAATCATACTCCTACTCCTTTGTCTGTCTCTCTTTCTCTCCTCCTCTCTCTTCGCCCCCCACCAACTCCTATTGGTGAATGCAAATTTCAACATAAATATTCATAAGCAAGATGCCAGCTACAAGACCAAATCACTTTATTCTAGCTTGAGGCCTCCTGGTCTTCGGTCCATGCTTGGAAGCTGGAGCCTGAATCTGTTGTTCTGTTCCAACACTCTGTTTAACCAGGACATCTCTCTGTAACCTAGTTCTGTGCATGTTTACTCAGAAGGAAGCCCATTTGGGTTTGCATCTGATAAAGTTGGCTCCCAAGTCAGCATGCATACAGTTTTGTTGTTCTTGCTGTTGTTATGCGCTGTCAAGTTGCCTCCAACTTATGGCAACCCTATGAATAAGCATTCTTCAACACATCCTGTCCGCAACAGTCCTGCTTAGCTCTTGTAAACCCAAGCTTGTGGTTCCTTTAGGGAGTGAGTCTTATCTCATATTCGGTCTTCCTTGTTTTCTGCGATTTTCCACCTTTCCCATCATTATTGTATTTTCAAGAGAATTTTGCCTTTTAGGGAGTCAGTCTATCTCATGTTCCGTCTTCCTTGTTTTCTGCGATCTTCCACCTTTCCCACTATTATTGTATTTTCAAGAGAATTTTGCCTTATTCTGATGTTCCCAAAGAAGGACAGCCTGAGTTTCAACATGTTTGCCTCCAGAGATAGTTCAGGCTTGATTTGATCTAAGATCCACTTGTTCACCTTTCTGGCAGCCCTGGGTGTCCTCTGAGTTCAAGTCCAGCATAGAGCTGAGCAGTCTTTAAGTGTTTGAAAGGGTTTTGATGCCTCTCTTGCTGGTGTCAGCATAAGCCCATGTGCAGCCTGGACGATCACTGTAGGTTCTAAACTCTCATGAGGAACTACATGAAAAGGGAACAAGAGGAGGGCACTTAGAACTGGGGTACAGCTGAAACGTGTGAAAACACCCTAAAGTAGGTGCAAAGCCTCGCGTCTCTCCCAGATACTTCCGAGAAAAGCAAGCGCTTCGCATCTCTCCTTTCATACTTATTCCCCGAGTCTGAAAGACAAAGGGGCTGATTTTATTTTTATTTATATTTTAAAGGCAGGCTTGCTTTTTTTCGGTTTTAACTGGAGCTTCGCTTCCAGGGCGCTGGCGACTGAACTCACGTGCAGGAAGGAGAGGGGGCTGGTTCTTAAGTTTCCAAGATAGATGCCCCCCTCCCCCGTTGGCAGCACTTGAAGGGGCTCCGTTTATTCCTTTTTCCAGCGACTGGTTTTGTGGCTTATTAAAAAACGCTCCATCTGATGTATTTTGTTGGGTAGTTATATTAGATCGGAGCGTGCAAGTTCCAGATAATGCAATCGCCTTGGCTGTTGAAATAAAAATTCAAAAGCTCTGGTGCAGTTAAGTAAATACGGCATTTCGGCTAGAGGGGAAATTAACGCTGGAGGGAAATTAATGATTTTGGCGAAGTCCGTCAACCTCATACTTGGGGGTGCGGGGGGGGGGAAACAGTGATTTTTTCCGTGTCAGGTTCATGCCAAACCTTTTTCAGGGAAAGGTGTCCCATAAAATATGATTAAAGGTCTCTTTCTTGTCAGTTTCGTGGAACTCGGAGCAGAAAGGGAAGTTTGCTTCAAGTCTCCTGCACGGATTCGAATCGGGACTGAAGCTGGTTTCGAGCCGGAGCTGTAGCAAAGGAAGGAACACACCTCCGTGACAGAGCATGAGATGTGCTTGCCAAAGATCTCTGTCCCCTGTGTCTCAAGGTAGGGCCGGGAGAGTCTCCATCTGAAATTCTGGAAAGCTGTCAAGTGTGCGCTTGTGCTAAATTGACCCTTCAGATGTCTGTAAATCCCATCATCCCCTTATTATCGCACCTGTAGGCTGGGGGTGATGGAGAATTGAGTCCAGCAACATCTAGAAAGCCGCAGGTTCCCTTGTCCTAGGTGAACTGGACCTGGGATTTACCTCTGCACACAGCGGTTTCTTATGCCCTACGAAAGTATTTTCGATTCGCCCCGTTGAAAACCCGTCCCAATAACCAGTGTCTCTTCTTCAAAATTCTCTCTCTCTGTGTAGCTTTCAGGCTAGCCTTCCTCGCTGTCGATAAAAAGAAATTGGGGAAAATATATAGTGGTCTGGGTTCGTCAACGAAGGTGGGAAACTAAGGCACATCATTATTTCTTTACGTTTAATATTTCCGTGAATTGTTCAAAATCCACATGAGATAAGGCATCAGCCAAATTCTCCAGTCCCCCCGAGATAATTTAATCCACGTTGTAGGCGACCCTTCCAAGCAAGTCCCCCTGATTTTGTTCCAGTAACTGCTGATTCTCATATTCATGTGAATCACTTGGAGGTGCCTTCCTGTACGTGTGAAGGGACCATTTAAAAAGAGGAGAGATTTTGCCCCACAGCTTTCCATTGGAATTCTTTTTTGATAGATGTTAAGTCTGGAAGTGCTAACTAGTTGTGTGGACGGAAACGAGCCATCTCCCTGAATCTGTCAAGCAACCCCTACAGGCCAGATTTCATGCTCACCTGTGTTCTTCCTGTTAAACGTCTATAACGTCTGAAGCTAAACGTCTGAAGCTGAGAATCTGTAGGCAAGTCATCGTTCTCTCTCATTACTTAAGTGCACTCGCATTGGACTCTGTCGGAATAGAATAACTCGTGAACAGAAAGCAGGCAGAGTTCTGGGCGGAATGACGTCTTTACTGGATCGGTAAAGTTGCAAATAAGGCGAGCTTTTCAGTTTTCCCGAACTCTCCATCAGATAAAGGTGATGTAGAATCTGAGGCTATGGCATCTTTGCGCACTTCATTGATGCCTTCTTTTGTATCCTCTTCGCCTGATGAAATCTTCTGGCCAGCCCGAAAGCTCGACTTGTTTATCACGTTTTAGTGACATTAGCCAGACCGAACTTTGTTTCTATCCATGGATTTCCGGGCTTTTTCTATGCCATGTTAAAAAAAAACTGCCTATTCAAGATCGCACCCTAAACGAAACTTAATCGGAGGAAAAGCCCGCAGGGCTCAGGTGCTGCCGTCCTGATAAGCCTCTCGGCCACTTCCTTCAATGATCCTTATTCCACAACCACATCCTTGAATCCTAAGGCGATCGCATGTGTGATGCAGCAAATCGCATTTGGCATCATACCGGGAGGAAGCGAGATTGAGGGGGCGGGCAGAGTTAACCTGCAGAAGCGGTGGAGGCCAGGGTGTCTCCTGAAATGAGAAAAGCCACAACTGGGCTTTGTTAAGGGTAACCTCCAGTTAGGACCCAAATCAGAGATGGGCAACTTGTGTTCCTTCAAACTTGGTGGGCCTTCATCCTAACTTAGCAGAAAAACATAAAAGGAGTTGTGTTTACGTTTCGTTGTAAAGCCAATTTCTTGGCTTCTTCTAAGATTCTCTCATTTCCTGCCCTCTCTTTTCTTTTCCCTTTCCCCCAGTTAGTTTACTTTCCCGTCCATTGGGTGGGTAGGCACCCTCCCTGCCTTCTGGGGCTGCCTGCTCTTCGCCACGGACCGAAGAGAGGGGCTGTTCATCTCCCGACTAAGCCGAACAGTTCTGCATAAGACCAAATGCCACCCTTGGATCCCCGAGTTCCTCAGGCGAACCCCACCGCCTGGGGGTCGTATGAAGGTCCCCTCTACCCCCAAGGAAGGATTTCCTAGGCTGTAAGAAGGAAGCTCAAGAGAAGGAAGCCAATGCCTAGCTTTTCATTATTTGCCTGCCCAGACATCGCCCCGCCAGAGTCTTTTTGCTCTTCCATTTTTTCGGGAAGTTGTGGGTGCCGTCCTATTGCGTTAACACTCGCAAGGAGTTTCGTGGCACCTGAAAGGCTGCCGAGTGGTTTGGCCTAAGCTTAGGTGGACTCCCACCCACTTGCTCAGATGGACAAGGCGGCTGTGGTTTGGTTTGGTTTGTTTTCGGAACACCAGATCTGTGACCCTGCAGTCGTCCTGTAAGAAAACCAAACCAAACCAAACCGACGAGAGGTACTGTGTTTGATCGGGAACGACTTTGTTCCCAAACCACAGCTCACCTAGGCTGTAGCCACTTCGGCAGGTGTTGGTGCGTTGTTTGTCTTGCTGGAAGACAACGCAACGCGAGAGAGGCAGCTGCTCTCCTGGGCACCCACCTTGTACCCCGAAATCATGCCTCCACTACAGGATGGTTCGCTCACTCCCGTGAGAATGAGTTCTAGAGTCAAGAAGATCGTCGCCAGACAATTTCGCGTAATAGTCCTTCTTGACTGTCCTTAAGACGTCCCAGTGAAGACATTGCGTGTCATCAATGCGGCTTGCTCTTTATCACAGCCAGCAGGCGTGGCTTTTGCGCCCAACGAATCAAACCAGCCTCTTTCCCTCTTGTGCCCTCCGCTGGAGCCCTCAGGACACCCGGTCTCAAACCGATGCCCTCCAGATGTGTGGGACTACAACTCCTATGCCTAGAGGATGGTGGGGGTTGCAATCCAATGCATCTGAAGGGCCCGAGGCTGGAGAAGCCTTCCTTGAGATAGCGACTCCCTTTGCCAAAGCCCTTTTTTGTTCATTTAAGAAGCTCTTGGGTCGATCGGCAGCCAGGAAGATTTTTTTCCTTTCCGAAAGTTGTTGTTAATAACCCGGATATCCTGCCTAACAAGGCCCGGAGGAGTTTCTTACGTGGGGCGATGAGGGTCCCTCCGAAAGCCTTGCCTGTTTGTTCTACAGACATCGTGCGTGTCAGAAATTGGAAAACTGGGTCTCTGGCTTAAGGGAATGTTTATGGAGAAACTGGTTGTAAACTTTCTTGCAACGTACACGGAATTTCTCCCCACGCCTCAGTAAGGGGACCGCTCCAGTTGGATCGCTCCTCTTAACCTCCTTGCTTAAGATTTCTCAGGGATACGACGTAATACATCATCGTTCAGATAAATAGATATCGATCGAGATAAATGGATGAGCACGGGATGCTCTCGGAATTCCCGGCGTGTTTCTCGCTCGAGAATCGCCAGTAGGCTCCCGGCCATCAACGACCCGATTCCTCAGAATTAAGGAGGAACCGGATGGAAAATTAAACTTGTAGATCTTGATAAGGGTAGGTGCGGGATTTGTAGATCTGGGTTGGAAAGAGACAAGCGAGGCGAAAGAGAATTAACAAAGCGATTAGAAATATGCCGAGATCCCCTTTCCCTCTAGTGACCTGAAGGCGTCTTAAATACACGGTTATTTATTGCTCTCCATTTAATTCCCATAGAGGTTTCCTAAGGAACTGCCGCCGAATCGGTTCCGGGGAAAAATAAGCCAAACCGAAGGCGGACAAATCGCTTGGTCTTCCGCTGGAAGCTGAAGCGGAAGGCGTGTGGAAACGCGAGCCCAAAGAACCCCACCGTATACCAATATGAAAATCAGATTAGTCACAGAAGAAGGCAAGAAACAGCCTCGTAGGTTTCGGGAGGATTCCCCAAAATCGTCTGTTCAGAATCAGCTGCCATGCCTGTCCTGAACACCCCCGGCCGTCGAGGTCAATCCCGGTGGGACGTCTTGGCCAGTCAGCAAGCAGAAGCAGCGGCAGCCGACAGACGGAGCCCCGGTAGGTTGTTTTCAACTCTCCTCCATACTATTGACCGAAGAGGGGAGGAAACCTTTCCCCAGCCTACAGCTTCACTCTACCAGTGACCCGAGCGGTGTGGGTTATTTGCCAGGGTGGGTTACACGGAGACTCTCAGAGCTGGGCTGTGATTTTTCACCCTTGTCGCCTCTAAGCCTCAAGGACCAGGAGAAGGCGAACGAAGCGAAGCGCCCCCATTCCTGGATACATACTGCCACGGTGGTGGCGGACAGTAGCAACGTGTGATGCGAGGCATCCCAGGACGACCTCTGGATCCGCAATGTTCTTGAGCCGGCTTCTTGGAAATATAAGAGCCCCCTCCCTCCCGGATCCTTCCACCTCCCGAAGACGTGGAAATGAAAAGATTCATTGGACTCTGTAGAGCTGACTTCCAATTCTTTCTGGCGGGCGTGTCATTTCATATCAGCGTGAACAGAGAGATGCTTAAACCGGTTCCGATTAATACTAAGCACCCTTAAGCACCCCTTGTAGGGATGCAGGGCATCTTTGCTCCCCTAGAGGTCCGCAAACCCAGTTCAGCCCCACACCTCCAAGTCACCTTTGATCAGAAGTAAGTTCCGTTATAGTACTGGCATTCGTTTCCGTTCCACAGGAAGCTTGTTTAGGATCGCCTCGCTTTCTCCAGCGGGAAGACATTTATTAAGGACCGGAGTGGAAAAGGATAGAAGTCAACTGGACTGGATTCGTGAGTGCGATTATCCCCGCTCTGGCGTCACAGCTTGATCCCAAACACTTCGACTTGACTTTTTTTTTTATTGGAATTGTGCCTGCGATCGCCAGGGGACGATTTCAGAGACTGACTGGCGCTGAATGTGGAAAGACACAGAGACAGAGAGAAACAGAGATTCGGGGCGTGCGTGGGGGGGGTTCCTATTGAAATAAATGGGTTTCCAAACCCATCCTAAAGAGGACCAAGAGCCTTTTCTACTGAGCCGAGCTAAACTGACTTCTAAGAAAGTGTGTGTGTGCGTGTGTGTGTTTTCCAGAACGTAGCCTCTGAGGGAAACGGGTTGTGGCTCTCATATACGGTGAAAGAGAATCGGGACTTGCTACCAACACTCTCCCCTCCCCCCCCCGCCTTTAAAGAAAGAAGAAGAACGGGGGTGTCTTATAAGCGCCAACATCAAACGAAAGGAACCGGCGAATCCGGGCAAGTGGGGGTGGAAGGGGGAGAGATCTCTTAAGGAAATCGCTGCTAACGGTCTTGGGAAGCGATGGGGAGGAAAGGGGGGAAGCGGAAACTTTCCTCTAGACCTCGGCAAAGTCCCTCCTCTCCCACGTCAAGCCAATGGCACCGCGGCCCCCAAACTTTCCGCCCGCAGGAGCTATAAGAGCGTCCCAAGCTGCAACTTTCGCCCAACTCCCAGCCAGCTCCAAGGAGCCATCGGGAGGGGAGCGGATAACGCCAGAGAGAGTTCCTCCTCCTCCTCCTCCTCCGTCGCCCTCCTCTCTCTTTCTCTCTCTCTTTTTGCTTTCCCGATGGCCTCCAATCCCCCACCCAACTGAGCGCCTCTCCGCCCCCGCCGCCCCCTCGCTCGGCGTCCTCCGCTCCCTCCTTCTCTTTCTCTTCCGCAAGCCGAGGATCCGGCCAGGGGGAGCTGGCTGGTTAGGGACACCCCCCCCGCTCCCCGCCTCCCTCGCCCCCTAAAAAGGGCCGCTCGGTGCGCCGCGGGTTGGCCCCCCGAGATGATGCAGCAGCCGCCGCCACC